TGTACAGAGTGTGAAGCCCCTTGACTTGTGATTTCTGATATTGGGGTATATGATGTGACCATTTCCAGAATCTCAAACTGTTTTAATGCACGTTTGAGAGTTTTAGTAATTTTGGATGCTTTATGTGGTTGCTTTCATTTCTCTCCTGCAAATGCAGTTGTAACCCAGTGCTAAGAGCAGATGGGGCCCTGTATGGCTGCTAGTTTCACAGTATGATTGGGAGTTAGTATAGGTTGGAAGTGGGTTCACTGGGAAATCATTGGGAGGCGTTGAAAAGTGCTGAGAGCATCGGTACAATTACAACATTGTGTTTTGTGACAATGCGTGCAGCCAACCAGATAAATTGTTATTCTCTCACATTAACCAATAAGGTTAATTGTCCCTCCTTGGAGACCGAACATCCTGTTCGCGCTCTTGACATTGTATCAGACGCTTAAGAGCCGCATTTGGTTGCAACACACCGAGCTTAAGAACCGTGTGAAACGGAGGTATTGAACTGAGGCAAAGCTGTGTGCCAACGGAGAACTGGGAACCCACACCGTTGCCTTTGCCTTGCATTGGTGAGATATATATGCAGGAATGTACTGCACTATCGTAGATGCAATTACTGTTAGCCGTGAGCTCATTCGCGCTAGCATGCACCATTGAAAAGCATGTAAATAAATGCTAATCACTGCTAGCGGCGAATGCTAACTCACGCTAGCTATCCATCAATTCCCTTTGAACATGCCAGTTACACAGGCTAAAGCCATTTCGTATGGGACAATTAGATTATAACTTGAATGGTATTTGAAGAATTGTTACAGAACAGTGTTCTATGATTGTTTTAAGCTGTTATATTAGCACACGTTTAATTGTTGATGTTTTTTTTAGTGCTGATAGGTTTATAATTGATGTTTCACTTGCAATGGGAATACAAAAGTGCACTTTGCTTGGAACTTGCTGGAATTTCACCAGACTTTTCTAGCACGTGGTAAAATTTGGAAAGAAATAAGCTAAGTGTGTATTTACAATGCACTTGGGAGCTGTGTTACCTCAATTTAGTGTATTTACTATGCACTGTTAATGGTTGTTAATGTTGGACATGTGAAATTTATTGTTGTACAACTTGAACAAGTGAGAAATTAATTTTGAAGCACTTGAGAGTAACTTTTAGCTGTAGACAATTAGTTACAGTGTAATCAGAACAAAGACATTGAACTGACCTGGGACTTGAATAGACTTTATATACACTGAAAAAGGGACTGAACTGGACCTCTTTATTTTGTTTGTATGCGCGCTCACTTTTGGTTAATGTTATTTTCCTAAATGCATGTAACTTTATGCCCATTTACAACATCCGCCATAAATTCAACCGTTTTACTACAAGTTGTGTTGATTGTCTCACTGTGGTTGTTCACCTCTCGGCTCCTACGAGTCTAAAATCTTCTGATCTGGTCCAAGCCTTTCCGTTGTACGGGTCTTCCTGGCATAGCTAATTCACAGTGCTTAGTCACTGGGTATAGGAGGAAAATAGATAATACGTGCACACCAACAAAGGGCTACACAGTTTTTACTTTTTTTACACTAGCTCTCCTCCACTATAACACACTGTACTACACAGTTCGTGAAAGCTGCTTCATGAAAACAAATAGACTCAGATCAGCAAATGTATTTTATTGTACATTTACAAAAAACAAGAGTACAAAAAGTCAGTCCACAGACATGTTTTGGGATGAGTATATTCAAATTCCATCTCACAACTGCAGCAGACATTCCCTCAGATGAACAGGGGACAGGATACAATCACACTCACAAAGCCTGCCTGTCTGCTGCTACACTCGAACCTTTTGCTGCAGAGAAATCAGAGGAAACTTGGAAAAGTGTGACATTCTTAGCGGGCTACACTGGTGCAGGCGTCCTCCGGGAGTGACATCCCGCTCATTTGGGCTTTTCCAACTGCTCCTCTCAACCAGCAAACACACTTTGTGCTTCACATGTTCTGTTGTTTTACCATCACAACAAGAGAGTGCAACAGTAGTTAATGCTCTTCCAAAAAGTATACATTTTGACAAAAAGGTTGGCACATTCAAGAAGACGAGCTTTTTTGTTAACAGAACTTTTTTTTTTTAAACATTTGAGTTTTTTAATGCTTTTTAAAATAATCATAAATACAACCGTCTCTTCCCCTGTATCCAGAGCCGACAAAAGAACAGTACAGCCACAGGTATTTACAAATCAAGGTTGAGGAATGAACTCGATAGCTCAAATAATACCAAAAAACAAGCTATAAAGTCCGTTGTTCTTTCTTTTGCAGCAATGACAGAGTCTGGCATCCTGAAGACCTAAATGTTTCCTCTTGTTCGCCTTACTGTGTCCATGGTGAAGAGATGGTGGATGATGGAGGCATCGCAGGTACACTGACAGTCACTAGTGATCTTATCTCATTTCCTGGAAAGAAAGAAGCTTATTTTAACATTAATAAATATTCTGACAATTAGACATATACTCCAATAAAACTCCCCAACAGTCAGTCTGCCTGATGGAGAATCTTACTCTCCAACAAACCAGTGAGGGGGGAGCAGACAGCAACACATTCTTGCCATGGTTTGGTATCACAAAGGATCAATTTGGTGATGATAATCCGTTTTATCAAGGCTGACGAGATTGCTGTGGCGTCAGGAGAAAGTACATCAATCTCTTTGCTCTGGCTCCTATTTCCCAATAAGGACTGATCTTGTAAAACCTGCACTTACAGTAGAACCGAGAGCAGAACCGATACTTCTTGACACTGGATTTTAATGGTGTGCCAGAGCCTGCTGGAAGTAGCACGCTGTGTTTCTGTACACCATATTATACAGCATATATCACAAATACATGAATTGTAAATAATGAATGTGGTAAACAAGTCAAAGAAAATTGTTATATCATGCTTAATGTACCGTAAACAAAGGTTTTACAACCCCAAATCAGAAAAAGTTGTGACGGTGTGTAAAATGAAAATTTAAACTGAAAATAGTGATGTGTAAATCATCTGTGCCCTGTATCACATTGAAAACAACACAGCAGCACATTATTTGATGTGACACCTCATCAGTTTTATTCTTTGTTCAGAATAAACACACTTCAATTCTGATGCTGCAACACATTCCAAAAAAGTTGGGACAGTAAAGCATTTACCATGGTGTGATGTTTCTGTTCCTTTTCACAACACTAAAAGACGTTTAGGGACTGAGGACACCAAGTGATGAAATGTGTCAGGTGTCATTTTGTCCCATTCCTCCTGTAAACTAGTCTTCAGGTGCACAACAGTCCTGGGTCTTCGTTGACACAATTTGTGTTTCAAAATGCGCCACACATTTTCTACTGGGGACGGGTTGGGACTGCAGACAGACCAGTCCAGCACTCACACCCTTTTCCTCCACAGCCAGGCCTTGGTAATGTGGCAGGATGAGGTTTTGTGTTGTCTTGTTGAAATATGCATGGGAAGAGGTGTCATCTTAAAGGCAGCATATGTTGGACCAAAGTCTCTGTGTATGTTTCAGCATTAATGGTGCTATCACAGAAACCTTTACCAAGGGCACTGACACAACCCCAGACCATGACAGACCCTGGGTTTTGGACTTGTTGCTGTGAACAGTCTGACTGACTGAAAGACTGATTGGTCTGACCACAGTCCACGTTTCCACTGTGTGATGGTCCATCCCAGATGCCTCTGATCCCAGAGCAGTCGACTGTGCTTCTGGACACTGTTGACATAGGGCTTCCTTTTGGCACAGTCCAG